ATAGTTGGCCCGCTTGAAGTTGAAAGCCTTGGTAGTGATGTTGGCTTCGGTTGTGTTGTTTTCATGCCATTCAAATGTAGCCAATATCGGTGGATGATAACTTTCAATTTTTTTCTTTAGTGCGTTGGCCTTATCAACACGTTCAATTGTGATGTTGGTGAAATCATTTGTAAAGAACAAATCCAATAGACGCTCTTTTGAATCATTACGTACATGATTTACCAGATGGACTCCCATGCTCATGAGCCCCTGGATGAAAGTCACATGCGGCAGATTAAAATCACCAATGAAAATAAGAACATCCTCTGGATCAGATTTTGTCAAAAAAAAAATTTCATTCCCCATCGATCTGTATATTCAATTTTAAAATCGATGTGTGACAGTTGGGACGATTTACTTGTGACCCATTTTCGATTTGACCCTAGGGTACTTGCTCTAAAAAAACCTCCGAAAAAATGTTAATTTGGTATGGGAGGACCCGTAAACCGACTCCGCTTGGCTTCAAACTAGGGGCTTCATTCGAATTTTAAAAAAGTGAATTTTTGCGAATATTTTTGAATATTATAGATATTTTCTCATAGAATTTTCGAAAATATTTTGAAAATACGTGAATAGATTTAGATTAAAAAAATCCAAGATGGCGGCTGGTGAGAACGGCTGAACTGTCAAAATAAGAAACACCGAATATCTGTGAATATGAGTGGATATGAGTGGATATGAGTGGATATTTTCTAGATAATAGTGAATAGGAGTGAATATCTCTAAAACACACCGAAATTAATGAATTTTTTCGATAAAAAAATGATATTTCCCCCTAGGCTTCAAACTTTCTAAGGTTTCATTTTTTTGGAGAATAAAATAAGATTCTGAAAGTTTCATGCTGATCGCATTTGCACAAGTTTGGTGTTTGGTCCTCAATTTTTGTCGAAATATCCTTGGAAAAAATTGAGGACCAAAAACCAAACTTGTGCAAATGCGATCAACATAAAACTTTCAGAATCCTATTTTTTCTCCAAAAAAATAGATTCTCAAAAAGTTTGATACAATCGGAGCCCATTTACAAAATTGTCATTTTTCGGAGGTTTTTTTAGGGCTATTGTCGAATCGAAAATGGCGCAGCTTCGAACTTGAACTAAGTTTTTCGGATACAAAACTCCTGGACCTTCCAGACTTTGGTTATCTCAATTATTTTTTAAGTTATGGTGTTAACAAAAGTCCGCCCTTAAGAAATTTTCAGAATATATTCAGATATATATCAACTAAAATGGCCGATTTTCAAGGTCGATGTCGTTGGCCCCACCCCAATTTGGTGCTGGGTCGTCCTATGTACCAAAATTTAGTGCTAATTTAGTGCTGTCAATTGGTACCTTGTATGATTTTAGTGCTGCCCTCTATGCGAAAATTTTTGATTTTGAAAAAATTGACCATGTCCTTTTGGCTACTTTGTATGGGATTTTCTCGAAAGCTTGACATTATCGATTTCTCGTATACCCTACAATTAAATGCTATTTTAGTGCTGCCAAATGACACCCCCCACGATTTTGGTGCTGTACCCTGGACGGGTATTTTTGAATTTTTTCGAAAAATCGCATATCAAAATATCGATTGGCATATTTATTGCAGAGAAACTGGTCAGGGGGGCATGATTTTTTCAGATAATTCATTCAAATAACTCTAAAAAATTACACGACGTCCTTTTTGGGGCTACTCCTCACCTTGGAGAGATGGGAGAGTTTCGAAAAGTAAAAAAAAAATTGCTCAAAATTATTACAATTTTAGTTTAGTTAATTATTACAATTTAAGGTTTAAATTCCGGAAAATTAAGGTACATGTCATCAGCACCGCCCGGGAATAGTGCTGGTAAACCAGAACATGTAAAAAGTGCTCGAATAGTGCTGTCGATTGCAATTGGTCCCATGAATAGTGCTGTTTGGAGACGCTAGCACTATTCGTCGAAAGTTGAAAAAAGTCGATTTTTCAGTACTGTTGTATGGGAGGTATGTGAAATTTTAATTTTTTCTACACAATTTATACGTCAAAAAATAGTGCTCTAATAGTGCTGGCGAATGGCGTTTTCAGTTTGCAAAAATCTTGTCTGGTAGCCAAGCAATAATTGTAGACATTTTCGGAAAAATTGGTTTTCGGTACATTTTCATGGCAAATGTCCGAAACGGAGGTGGAAGCAAGCAAGCAAAAACTCTGCTTCGAGCAAATAGCAAGTTGATTTTTTGAGTAGTAAGTAGCAGACTGTTCAATTTCTAAAGAAAAACTCGAATGAAGCAAGTGGGTTTTTACTTGCTTGAAAGAAGTAGATTATATTTCTGAGTATGCTCATTGCTTGTCTACTCCATTACTTGCTCGAACCTAGTTTAACGTGCTTTGGATGTATGGATGTATTGATTTTGGAAAAAGTAGAGTATGTTTCATGCGGTGAGCAAATCCCAAAATAAAGTATTTATTCCAACCGATATACTATTTATTTTTCACTACATTGTTTGGATCACAGTCACATTGACTACATTATTTTTTCAAAGAAAATACTTGATAGTATTATTTATGCTCTGCTTAAAAGTAATTTGTACAACTACAATTGAAAAAGTTACAATTGAAATAGATCGTAATTGTCATGAATGAATAACACTTTTTCGACTCTGTATGGGTCGATGGTTGCACGGCGACTTCTGATTACGGAACCAGCGAATGAGAATGAACTTTCGGCCGTTGCCGTTGTCGCTTGGATGCTAAATAAAACTTTAGCTATCGCAGCTAAATTTGGATAGTTGTCAGCAAATTTTTTCCAAAAATCCAGCACATCATCGAAGATTTCTCGGATGTCTTGAAATCGCAATAATTCGCCTTCAATTGAATTATCTAGTCCGGCTCTATGGATTGGCACATGACGAGACAAAAGTTTTTCACGCAGACTCATGTGTCGACTCTGAACGTTGTCCGGTGGATGCTCGCTCTCGTCATGTGGGTCGCTTGCACTTGGCAGCTTAATCTTGAGCTGATCAACCATTCGATGAAGCAGATCTTCTCTTGAAAGGTCTTTATCGCGAAGCCACGATTGTATTAATGGCAGGTGTTGACTCGAAGGGTCCAAAATAGCAGCAGCAATACATGCATCCGTCAACTGGAAACGATGGTCCAGATTTTTCAGGAGAATGTTGACTACTTTGTTAATAACTTCACACATATTCTCACGTTGGATTTGTTCTAAATTTCCCTTGATTTCCACATAGAACAAAATAAGTGAATTTAACGTAGGGTAACTGTTCCCTTGTACGTATTTGGTGAAAGTATTGAACACTTCGAGCACTTCGACGATTCGTCCTAGCAATGCAAGTTCTGAGCGTGATAAAATCAATTCATACGCTGCATGATGTTCAAGACATTTCTTGACGATAGCTGTAAAAATCCAAAAAAGAAAAAGAGTAAATTGTATTTGAAAATTTTCAAATGATGTTATGACGAAACCACACAATTTCCATATATGTACTCACCTGAATTATGAAAATGAGCATGACAGACTTTGTAAATGCAATTCCATCGAACTGAACTAATACTCTTCAAGCCATCCATTCCTGCTGGTGCCGCTGTCAAATCTTCGACGCTAAATCGCTCATCGGCTTCAATCGCTTCCTCAATCGCTGTTAATTCCTCAAGCAACTCAAAAATTTGCTTTTGTCGTTCATTTTTGGCCATTTTTGTTAACTGACCATAGCTGTATAGCAATGCTTTTTGGATAAGACGCAACTTTTTGATGATATTTTTCAAATCTTCGATTCCCTCGCCCTTTTGAATTAGGTCAAATTGAATGAGTCGGTTGATGGAATGTGCTATGCATTTAATTTTGACGAATCCCATGTCGTTTACCGTTCGATTGACATTGGCTGCCCCATCCACGACCGCAATTATTTCTTTGTCTCTGAGGCCATATTCATCCATCATTGCATTGAAGTTTTCTTCGATGCGTATCGATGTGTGTGGGTGTTCGAACATAGCTGTTTTCAATACACGGCTCATAAGTTTCCAACTATCGGTTACATAATGGCACGTATATGTCATGTATGAAATACGACGGTAATTGTCCGTCCACATATCAAATGCGACGCAACAGTGCTCTGAAAAATGGTCAAAATAGAAAAATGTTGAAAAAAATGAACACACATTCCATGTTTTGAATTCTATTGACTGAATCAATCAATTTGATTCGTCATTTTGTACTTACGTTGGGTTTCTTTCAAATGACCAATCAATTTTGTTTTCAAACAGTCAAACATGTCATCAAGGGCCATGTTTGCAATTGTTGTTCTCGACGGAATGTCACTCTTTTTCCTATTTAGTGAGGTGAAAAAATCCAGAAACCCCACTTTTTCGACCACATTGAATGGCAGCAAATCTCGACAAAGCCAAACCAAAATTCGTCTCGAGAACACAAACTTTTCATCGACTTTTCCCACTCCGTCTTTTTTCTTTTCTACGAATAATTCCGTCAGCTTCTTTTGCTTTTGATCGTTACGCTCCGACAAAATTTTGATGCGATGCTCGTGGGCTAAATGCTGTATGAGGACCGTCGCGCTGGTAGCACTTGCGTAGCTGTAAAAAATCAATCCATCTTAAATAGATTTGTTATCAAACATGCATTCGAATTCATTTCAAACCTTTTAATTGAGTTTTTTTGGAAGCACACTCTGCAAAAGATCCGATCTCTCGTCTTTGACTTTCTGTTTCGCGCACCAATACTGTATGTAGATTTTTGACGATTTGATAGATTGTTTCAAATAAATTGGTAATTTCAGTACGATCAAAAATCTACATACAGTATTGGTGCGCGAAACAGAAAGTCATGAATTTCCCGCACACTCATGCAATCAATAAGTCACACAATGAACATTCAGAAATCTTGAATAGTTTGTTTTTGGAAAATAGCTTAAGTTTTGAAACGATAAAGATTTATTGGACTTAAGATTTCCGAACGTTCAATGTATCAATTCTGATTCTTTGACTCGACTGACTCATTGCCTTCAAAATGGAGTAAGAATCTAGCTCGTTTCTTACGACTCATGAAGAGTGAGTCACATCAAGTTTGAATC